TCCTGCCCCACATTCAAGGGGAATTTTCCTGCCGGGCTCTGAGCGTTGGCACCTTCACCCCTGGGCACCGGGGAAGGACCCAGAGCTGGCGGGGACGGAGAAACCCCAGCAGATCCCAAACCTGATCCTAAACCAGATCCCAAACCTGATCCTAAACCTGATCCTAAACCTGATCCTAAACCAGATCCTAAACCAGATCCCAAACCTGATCCTAAACCAGATCCCAAACCTGATCCTAAACCTGATCCCAAACCTGATCCCAAACCAGATCCTAAACCAGATCCCAAACATTGCCCAGAGCTGGCGGGGATGGAGAAACCCCAGCAGATCCCAAACCTGATCCTAAACCTGATCCTGAACCAGATCCCAAACCAGATCCTAAACCAGATCCCAAACATCCCCCAGAGCTGGTGGGGATGGGTAAAACCTCACCAGACCCTAAACCAGATTGGGGATGGATAAACCTCACCAGATCCCAAACCAGATCCCAAAAATTGCCCAGAGCTGGTGGAGATGGAGAAACCCCAGCAGATCCCAAACCTGATCCTAAACATTCCCCAGAGCTGGTGGGGATGGATAAACCTCCCCAGACCCTAAACCAGACCCTAAACCAGATCCCAAAGAGTCCCCAGAGCTGGTGGGGATGGATAAACCTCACCAGATCCCAAACCTGATCCCAAACCTTCCCCAGAGCTGGTGGGGATGGATAAACCTCCCCAGACCCTAAACCAGATCCTAAACCAGATCCCAAACATCCCCCAGAGCTGGTGGGGATGGGTAAAACCTCACCAGATCCCAAACCAGATCCCAAACATTGCCCAGAGTGGGTGAGGATGGATAAACCCCAGCAGATCCTAAACCTGATCCTAAACATCTCCCAGAGCTGGTGAGGATGGAGAAACCCCAGCAGATCCTAAACCAGATTGGGGATGGATAAACCTCACCAGATCCCAAACATTGCCCAGAACTGGTGGGGATGGAGAAACCTCACCAGACCCTAAACCTGATCCCAAAGAGTCCCCAGAGGTGGTGGGGATGGATAAGGGATGGATAAACCCCAGGAGATCCCAAACCAGATCCCAAACATTGCCCAGAGCTGGTGGGGATGGATAAACCTCACCAGACCCTAAACCTGATCCTAAACATCTCCCAGAGCTGGTGAGGGTGGAGAAACCCCAGCAGATCCCAAACGTGATCCCAAACATCACCCAGAACTGGTGGGGATGGGTAAAACCTCACCAGACCCTAAACCAGATCCCAAAGAGTCCCCAGAGCTGGTGGGGATGGATAAACCCCAGCAGATCCTAAACCTGATCCCAAAGAGTCCCCAGAGCTGGTGGGGATGGGTAAAACCTCACCAGATCTTAAACCAGATCCCAAACATCCTCCAGAGCTGGTGGGGATGGGTGAGGGATGGATAAACCCCAGCAGATCCCAAACCAGATCCCAAACATCCCCCAGAACTGGTGGGGATGGATAAGGGATGGATAAAACCTCCCCAGATCCCAAATCGGATCCCAAACATCGCCCAGAGCTGGGCACTGCAGGGATTTTTATTTCAGAGAGAATTCCCTGCCTGGAGCTGGGAGAACAGGGAAATGTCAGCGGGCAGTGAGGGATG